CATTCTTTCCTGTCCACGCAGAATGACTTTAATGGAATACGATCACATCAGAAAATGAKATCAAATATTTGGTTGATTCATTCGTGCCTATCATAGAATGCCTATAACTGAAATTTTTCATTTAGGTCTGATATTGCGAATTAGATAACCTTAATACTGTTACATAATAATTTGGCATAATCGGCCGATAGCCCATGATGCTAGTGCTGCGTATTTTCTTAGTTTGTATAATAATTGTATTATTATGTAAGCTTTTATAAAATAAAAAAATAAAAAATAAAAATTTGGCATATTCATAAACCCTAAGATTACTTTAAAAATGTACTATACTCAAAATAGATATTTMTTGTTTCTATAGTGTACACAGCTTCAGTTCTTTACTTCTAGATTCAATACTAATCATTGAATGCAAATTAGTTTTCAATAAAAATCGCTTAGTAAATAAATGTACTCACCCTCGCGCAATGTGACAATGTAGTAGGATTCCTTGGACGGTGCACTTATACCCAACTTATTCACCGCCAGCAAGCGAAAGCTATAAACGGTGAAGGGTATTAGCGCGTTGACTTGATATGATGTCTGATTTGATTTGGTTAAAATTTGYGGTACTTGATCCCAAGGTCCATTTTCGCCGACTCTGAAAAAAAAAAAATATTTTTTATTCTTTTGTTAAACWTACTTGGTAAGGTAATTCATAATTGCTGCTTTTGAGAGTTTTCTTTGCATTACAAACAATTTTGCGAGTTTTTAAGAGAGTTGAGGCATAAATTAAGCATTATATGTGTGTATATGTCGGTCAGAATTAATAGGTCGTGCAAATTTTTTATATACTGAATAGGATTTCTTTAGTTTGCAACAAAGTTTCTAACACCCAGAATGTAAAATATATTTATAAAGATCCGTATGATGAGCTGAGTTGAGGTAATCTTACTTGTATGTGCGTCTGTGTGCATTTAAGCGAACCAGTCCCTCAGTTTTTAAATATCATGTTAGATTTAGAACAAGTCTTTCTTCTCTGAGAAGCCGCTCATTTTTCGAAACTGCCGATATCGAACTATGACATACAGCTGTCAAACAAACCAAACGTTCGGAAGCAAGTGCTTGTATGGAGAATTCTTTCATTTAGCGAGATATCTTCAAGAAATTTTGCGTGGGTTATTCTCCAAAGCAATGACGTAGTCTCCGAAGTATATGTTGAGATCGAATCACTATAGCATATAGCTATCCTACAAATTGAATTATCGGATTCAAGCGCTTGTATGGAGAACTCTCTCAATTATTGAGACATCTTCAACAAATTTGACATGAATTATTTTTCAAGGCAATGCAATCAATTCTTAAGAAATTGTTCAGATCGGATCATTATAGCATACAGCTGTTATTACAAACTGAACGGTATGAATGAAATTCTTTTAAGAAATCTTTTGCACCTATTTGTGAAAGATATTATTGCTTCGTTGCAAGCGTAGTTAATTTTATTTCTTGTTTACAGTTGTCTCCTTTTGCTTTTTTTACAAAAAGTGTTATAGTGATCGGTTTTTGTTCAAATATGCGCCGTTTCGTTCGATAATCTGTTTCCATCTAGGCGGCAACTTCATAATAACCCGCTCGTAGAAGCTCCCCTCCTTAATTGCGAAGAACTCAGACAGCCACTTTTCACAAACCCCTTTGAGTTCAACTGTACAYCAACAAGGGCGTTCGCTATGGACAGGAAAAGGTGGTAATGACTTGGCGCTATATCCGGGTTATATGGTGGATGCGATAAAACCTCCCATCCGAGCTCTCGTAGCTTCTGACGAGTCATCTACGAAGTATGTGGGCTCGCGTTGTCCTGGTGAAACACTACACCCTTCCTGTTGGCTAATTCTATATGCTTCTAGTCGATCGCCTGTTTCAAGCTTTCTAGTTGTTCGCAGTAGATGGTAGAATTAAGCGTCTGACCATTTGGGAGCAGCTCATAGTGGACGATTGCCTTCCAAGCCCATCAAACACACAGACAAAATTTTCTGGCCGTCCATCCCGGCTTGGCCACTGTTTGGARCGATTCACCGGCCTTCGACCAAGACCGCTTTCGCTTGATATTGTTGTATGTGATCCATTTTTTGTCGCCAGTCACCATTCGATTGAAAAATGGGTCGAGTTCGTTCCGTTTCGGCAGCATATTGCAGGCCTTGATTCGGTCCAGAAGGTTTTTTGCGTCAAATCRTGTGGGACCCAAACATCAAGCTTTCTTGTGTATCCAGCCCTCTGCARATGATTTAAAATGGTTGGTGACTAATCATCCAATCTTCTGGAACGAGATCCCACATGCTGCTCTAACTCGATGTTTTTCATGATTTGATCGATATTCGACTTCACAGGTCTTCCGTCGGCTGGCTTATCCATTGTGCCATTGGTTCCCTTTTCACCCGCTCTGCATCCTCGGAACCATTCGCCCGCAGTGCGAAATGATAGAGTATCATCCCCCAAAACTAAATTGATCTCACAGAACATTTCTCTAGCGGATTTGCCTTTAACGAAGGAAACTTTAAAATAGCGCAAATTCAGGCATTGGTGAACTCCATGTTTACACGTCTATAAATGCGTCTATGCCAATACCTTTCAACGATGTATAGTATTGCCAGATACGAGCTCTGTAGCGCTTTATACATAGCCGCGAAATTCAAAAAACAAAACAGCGGAAGGGAGATACGAGTATTTGACAACCAATTAATACATACATGAAAAATTATAACAAAAAATTTTTTTTTTCAAACATTTTTTCAAAAATTTTTAAACATTATTACTTTCCTTAAAATTCCATTTTAATGATGACAACTGATTTATTACAGTTTTTGCACGCATTTCGCAAATTTCCAAATAACAAAAAATTGTTGCGTAAAAATAATTTTTTATTCGATTTTTTTCTTCTACATCAAATGAAATTGAAATGAGATTAAAAATTAATTTCTATAAAGCCACTAATTTGCTTATTATATAGCATAATATATTTTTATTATGCAGCGATTATTATGTCAATGCATTATGTGCCGTTATTAGACCATAAATCGAGCTTATGACTTATTCAAAAAATCGCGCTTTCAAAAGAAAATCAAAGAAAAATTTCAATGGGAATGTCTGCGCGCGGATTTTATAAGATGTGTATAAGAGACAGATGCAAATTAGTTTTCAATAAAAATCGCTTAGTA